TCCGCACTCCGCTGCACTTGTGTGAGGGCTTCCGTCCCCCGCTATAATTAGCTTCCCTGCCTTGTACCTCGCCTGAATGGACCCTGACTACTGCCAATCCATCAGACCACTTTGTATGGGCACAGACTTTGCCTAGACCATTAGGTTTATCATTAACCATCCGTAAATTTAGACAAAAAGACAAGAATTTCCATTTAGTGCTTTGTCATTATGCATTAAAGAGATGGTAATGAAAATTGAAGGGGGAGGGGGGTGTAGAAAAATTACTTATTACTCCTTGAAAGTTTTAAAATGGGATGACCCATAGTTTATCCTTACATCGTTTGCCTTGACCCGTTAGCGTAGTTAACGAGCATGGGTTAATTTGCCTGACCTTCGACCAGCGTTTTGTCCAACAAATATCTCCAATAGGCTGTAGTCATTACTGAACTCAGTTTAACTAGCTACCAAGTAATCACTTCTATAATTAGCGCAGAAGTCAAACTCTCACATTGTTTGTCTGTAGAGAAGTTGGTTTGTTTCCATGACTCCCAGGTGTTAATGATAAGCGAGGAAGCAAACTTGTTACAAAAGGAAGGAGAAGAAACATTAGATTGGTGTGTTGCCGCTGTTCTTAATAAGATTTTCCTGTTGCCAAAACAGAACCTTGAAGCAAATTTAGGACACAGGGTTATCTGGATGCAGTCAGTTAGAAGGATTTGTCCCATTCCGATTCAAGGACCGGGTCTAAATCAGATTTAGCCAAAAGGTCAGGATGCTTCTGGTTTCCTTCCAGCAGAGTTGAACCTAAACTTGGACAGACACGTCGGGCAGTGGGCCCACTGGTCTGGGCTGCAGTGTGCCGGGAATATCAGGCAGGATGTGTTTCCGCAGCGGGCAGCCGTCCAAGTGGAGCAGTGCCGTGGGAAGCGGGCACTAAGTTGTCCTCCATTTGTCAGAGGTGGCAGCCACTATGTTCAGAATGTGGGGGAGCAAGCCGGTTGACACAACAGGTCTGTCAACTGGTCTGCGTTCCAGCGCTGGCCTTTATGGGAGACTAGTCTCCCCAGCAGGCTTCGTGGTGGGCCCTTTTTTAAAGTTTTTAAGTTTAGTTTTCATGTGATTGTTAGTCAGTTTTCAGGCTGGACATAACTGTCAGAAAACTCATACACATCCAGAAAACGACATGACAGACAAGCTTCCAAATCAGACATTGTGACTGCATGCTTAGCTCAAAAATGTTAGCCTCAAGTCAAGGCCTGCTGTGTAGGCTAACGGTCCCTTCGGCACTGTGAATTCTATCTCCAGCGGGCCAACTAAACCTGCCTAGTCATGCAGCCTTCTGTAGGCGTACTGAGGAAAAATTTCCTTGGGGGCATGTTGGTTTTGGTGCCAAGAGTTGTTCTGTTTAGGCCCTTGACAACAGTCTGGATTCCAGGCTAAGGTTTGGCCTATATGGGGACAGGGAAGGTGGCAGAAGGGCATGTTTGGGAATGTCTCCCCCTCCCACCTAGATGCCTTTCTGTGATCAGACAGGTGCCCTCTTGTCCCTCATGTAGGGACAGATCATTAACTACTGAGGGGATGAGCGTAGTCCTTCGGAAGGAAGTAAATGTGTGACAGGAAGCTCTCAGTCACAAGTCACTAACTACTGCCTGTGAAAGCGAAAATAAAAGTATTAGCCAGGAACAAGGTGGAAGAAGTCATGCAAAAGGAAATTGCTTACAGAAAAACTGAAAATGAGAATGACAACTTAGTATTGTATTGGTACAGTTCTTCATCAAATGATTTTCACTAGTTCAGTAGTTGGTTTGAAAAAGTTATATTTGCAATGAGAAAACTCAGGTTTAACGTGAAGTTTTTTTGTTTGTGTGTGTTTCAGAGTTCAAGTTTGCAATTTACCCGCCGTCGATGATCGCAGCGGGAAGCGTTGGTGCTGCAGTCAACGGTCTGGTCGGACTCGGGGGGATTTGGGTGTCACCAAACGAACTGCTGGAACAGATGCAAAAAATCACCAACATAGACATGGTAAGAGCCGTCCCTTGTTGTTATTTACATCTATGTAATGTTCAGACCACTCCAAAAGTTGACACACTTTCTGGAGGGGTGCAGTTGGCTGTGAGATGAAAAAAATGTGAGGTCACCCAAGAAAAAAAAATCACCAACAGAAACATGGTAGGAGTACTAAGACTCTGTCGTTTCACATTTGAAGTTCAGGCGCTAGGCCACTCCCAAACATGGTAAAATTTTTTGGAAGCTTGTGGTCTTCTGGTGTTTTTGAGTTGGCAGAACATGCTACGCATCAAAACAACAGTCCCCTCCCAAATTTTCCGGAGGTTTGCGGTTGCGTGTGGCACTGGAGAAATGTGGGGGTTGGTTCAGTTCACCTTACAGGTGTCACACCCCCTCCTAGATGACACAGACCTAAGAGCCTTGCATGTTCTATGTCACGACATAAGGACAGGGCAAGATGAGAAAAACAACCGTACAATAGAGCCCCACCTCTACGTTAAATATTTACTGTAGCCGTCCAACTTGTACGCTGCTGCAAGGGTTGAGTAGCGCTCTGTGGCGGTGTGTCAAGTAGCGACGAGAGAAAAGACTGGGAAAGCCTCGTGTTAAACAAATATCCTCTGTTAGTTTGTCCCGATTGTCTGACTAGAGAAGAAAATGTCAAAAACAATCTTGAAACTTGAAGGGTAGGGCAGGGTGTGTGGGTGTGGGTGTAAGCAAGCTGTGATTTTTGTATTTGCAGACAATTAGGTAGGAGATAATGTAAAAAGCACAGGGTAACCTGGTAGGTTGTTACACCACCCCCACAGTTTTTCGGCCAAGCAAATTCCTCCGAATTGGAGACAAAGATTTTCTTCCCAATTGGAAAATTGGAGCTTCCTCCTGTTGAGGGTTTCTTGATGTTTTGGGAGCCCTGGATGGTCTCAAGTCTAAAGCCGCCGTCCTTGTGTGATAAGAGGGTGTTAGAAGGAAGGAACAAACCTTGACCCTCGCGCAGCTCTGTTCTGTGTCTTGAGGGATTCTCCAGAGCAGTGCGGGTGGCCGCACAGCACCCAACTCCCCAGCCAGTCTTATCTCTGCACCAACTTTATAGCTTCTAATTGAAGATCTGATGAATCGCAGATGGTAGCAATTTGCCACCTTGTGGAGCTCAGCAGAGCTCAGAGCACATGGCCGGCCCAGATCCGACCCAACAGCCCCCCTAGTGCTCAGAGCTTGACCCAGTACCGTAAATTATGAAATTTTCATGGCGTTTCAAAACCTTCAGATTACTGACAACTCACACACTACAAGCATGTGCCTTGTCCTCCATTGTTTTACTTCGTTGTTTCAACTTGAAAAAAAAGATACAGCAAACTCTTGAATTTCACATTGCTGTAAAATTTTTAGAAGTGCAGCAAACAATGATTGCACGGTATCGCCCTACCTCCCCACTACTGATATCAGTGCACTGATGGGATGAAAGCTCTCTTACAGAAGAACCCTTCTGAGTAGGAAGTGAGTGAACAAATTGGACAAGGTCAAACCTGCAGTGTTTTGTTGGGAGGCTAGCGGCCGACATTTTGCCGTGGTCTCGGTTCTGAGATCTACTTTAGTATCATAAGGAGCAGACAGGCCAGCAGTGAAATAAGACCGTGACAAATTGTGGACAAATTGTCAAGGTCAAGTG